CATTGATAATTTCCTACCGCTTTGTCTGTAATTTGGTAAGCCCCCCTATTACTATGTTATCCTTCTTTTACTCTTTAAAATAAAAAAAGATGAGAAATTTATAAAAATTATTTATTCTCTCTGGGTTTTTCATTTAAGTAGATCTACCTTTAGTTGAAGGCTTCATTAATGACAATTTGCTGTTGATTATGTAGCTATTGGCAGTAGCTATATGTAGTAAATCTTATATTAATTATTTGTTGAAACTCGTATGAATATATGAGCTGATGGAAATGAGTTAAATTAAAATCCTACTTGTCAGTGTTCAACAATAGCAGCAGTAATTATTAGGATAGATTTTCATGGTGCTTGTGTAGCCGGAGCAAATATTGTAAACCCAGACTTACTAGCAATGTCTAAGAAGGGTGGAATCTGAAAAAGGTGTGAAACTTCAGACAAAGATATGGTCTTTCTGTACACCAAGCTAAGAAAGTCCACCTTTATAGAGGCCAAGTAATTTCTTGCTCCTTGAAGGCTCTGGAGACAACACAACCATACAGTATTTATACAGAGCCATGGGCCTGCACTGATCCGGCTCCCTGAGAACATGTGTCTTGGGTTACCAGTTGTCTGATGTGGTACTGTTCCTACGTGAAATTCTTCTTCAAACAGTGACTGGTAGTCAGATCTATGAAAAGGTGCTAAAGATCGAGAAGAGGTGATTTGCATGGTTATTTTTTCATCTTTAGACCTCTTTATCCTCCTTTGGTACCCAGTAGGTTAGCTACTTTGAAACACAGGAATCACAACATATAGAGTATGCAACCCAAGGAAGGGTAAGTGGTACAACTTCCTAAAGGGGTCTCATTTCCCAGAACAGGTGGGGGAGTGTAAGGCATGATTTTAGTCTCCTTTCCTTTGGCAGGACAACATACCTGACGCTCATAACTTCAAGGAGAACATGTTTACTTTGTCTCGTAGCTACAGAGGTTTCAGACCAGGGTCAGCTAGCTCGTGGCTGGAAGGCATCATGGAAGCACATGGCAGGGAGGAAGCAGACAGACAGGGAAAAAGCCAGAGAAGGGCCAGGGACCAGATATAGTTCCCAGCATATGCCCCACGACTCACCCAGACAACCCAGAGATGCGCTTTACTAATTTACTGGGCATCTCTCAAGCCAATCAAATTGACAATCAAGATTAGTCATCACAGACACTAAACACTAATCACTGAAATACACAGTCACCCCTTCTTCAATAGAACTATGGATAGCTTGTCCTGATAAATAACGATCAGTATGGACTCTCCACCTAAGGGCTGCCCAGGATATTTGCAATATCAAATATTCTATCACTTTCACAGGCTGTGTCCGAACCTGCCGACCCATGGTGGGTAAGGTATAGTATGGGGTGTGGCTGAGGGGATGAGCTCTTCATGGGGGAATGGCCAGCAGGAACAGCAGAAGGCTATACCTACCAGGGACCTGGGGACAGGCAACTGGCAAGGAGCGGTTCTCATCGGGGTGAGCTAATTCCCACTGCTCCCATCACTTGCATGTTCTCACCTAAGTGTCCTTAGGAAGGTGTGAGGCCCACTGCTACAGCTTTGTCATGGTGTAAATGATGGCATCCTTTCAGCAGCGAAATGCTCCCTTTCACGCCAGGTCTTCTGTCATGCAGAGGCCACACCTGAAAGTCTTCCGAGGTCCCTTCCAGAGAAGTTTGAGGCTTATATAAGTGAATGCACATTAATTTTTTCTTTGCTTCCATTTCTCCTTAACTGAATTGCTTGCTCTATACTCTGTTCAGCTTTATGTATTTTCCACTTAATACTATATCTTAGAAATCATGTACATGTACTAACTCCACACTGGAATATAAATATCATGTACTGCATACAGGTACTAATAAAAAACAATTAGAAATCATTCTTATGATTTTTCACAACAGCATAGTGTCCCACTGTGTGAATTATCAAAGGCAAAGATTTATTTATTTATTTATTTATTTTTTTGATCTTTTTGAGACAGGGTCTCGCCTTCCAGTTCAGGCTGGCCTTGAGCTCACTTTGTAGCCCAGGCTGGTCTTGAGCTCACAACGATCCTCCTGCCTCAGCCTCCCAAATGCTGAGATTACAAGCATATGCCACCACACCAGGCCAAAGGCAAAGGTTTGTAAGTGAACATTGTATTAGGAGTGCAATCTCAGAGACGCAAAAGTGAGGGGGGAAGGGATGTGAAGCAAAGAAAAGAAGATGGCAGATAAAAAAAAAAAAGTGTGCTATGAACTGACCACCACTCAACTAATTAATTACAGATCTCACAGGCTGAACTTCTGCATCTCAGAGTTCATCTGAGATAAAGGTCATTCATCCCCGGGTTCTCCTCCATCTCCTGGACTTGTATGGTCAAAATTTGGCTGAATGAAAGTTACCTATACAACACTTCCAGGGTATAAAGAATAAAGAGAGTTCCTCACAAGCTACTGGAGAGTCAGATGCCATATCCTATGTCATGGGGTTTGTCTGTGTCCAAAAGTTTTGAGAAGTAGCAGCAGAGGGGCAAGGCCCCCCAGTCACTGCAGGATACAACAGAACCCACAGGGAGGTGCTGTGGCTACAATGATGAGCCAAAGACCCAGAGATGCATCTTGGAGCACCACACAGAGAAGGGATCTGACACAGGGCCTGGCTCATTAACCCACAGTCTCATAGTGCAGTCCTTCAGTGGCAATGGTGCACCTGACCTTGATCACCCAGGTCCAACTTTCATCGCCTCTGAAGTAACCACTGATAGTCATAGCTCTCACTGTAAAACTCCTCTATCATTTCATATATTGCTTGTGAATTTGACTGCGGAATTTGTCCCCTTAGGGAGGCCTTAGAGCTTCCCAGAGCAACTCTCCCACCCCTTGGTAAACTGCAATAAGGCTGGATAAACATAATTTGCATTTGAGTAACCTCTGGAAATGAACAAAGTTCACCAACATGTTAGTGGATGGCTGCAAGTACCTCTCTGCCCATTCAAAAGCCAAATGTGAATGCCAAAGATGAAGGCAACACTGTGCCAACAAAAGTGTAATCTGGCTACCGACTGCCCCCTAGTGGTCAGGACGCATCAGTGCAGGTTTTCTAACCACTCAAGAAGAGTGTAGATTTGTGGTGTTTAAGGGAACTGAACATTGATCTTCCTAAAACTTTAGCTACATAGTGCTGAGGGACAACAAAAATCAAGAAAATAAGTTATGCAATTAATGGGAGCAATGGGCAAGGAAAATAAGGCAAACATGTTTAAAACGACTCCAACCATACACTTATAAAAGCAATTGTTAAACGGGGCATTTGTTTCAATATGCAGAACTCTTTGAGAAATTGAGTACTACGATGAAGCATATGACATGATCCATTTGAAATGGAGCTGTGCTTTATGCACCATTTTTATGTCACTGTCGAGGTGATTCACTCTTCCTTGTTCTAAGAGTGGGGGAAATGCTATTAAATCAGTAAGTACCTCTTGGCAGTATTTTCTTTATAATTTCATTGCAGCTACTAAAAAATGCTAATTTTAAATACATAAAGGCAACAAAGGAATACTTTGATTCTAAGCTATTTACATTCTTCTAGTGGTATTTAACGTAGATTTGATTACATGTCTGTGTTTATCTATGTGTGTACAAATGCTTAACTGTTTGCTCTGAGCCTATCCATTTAAAACACTTTCCATTCTATGTAAATAATATTTCACTTGGACAATATGTCCTTAAGCTGTGGAATACTGGAAGCACCAGAAGTTTGCATACCAAAAATGTTAAACTTTGTTTTTATAAAATATCTGCAAGAGTGTGGCTTACCATTTGAGAATTTCTCTATAAAAGGGATGGTGACTCCAGACAAACCGTTTCAATCCCAGGAAAAATTAAACTACAGACAAAAAAGGACAAAAGACAAGTTATTGAAATATGCATGCTTCTAAAAATATTACTTGCCATATTATTATTTCTAATTATTCTCTGGGTTCCCTAATTTAAAATATTTTATATACTATGACAGCTATAGATCTGCACATTTAATTTGAGTAACAGCACTGTTTAGTAAATTTTCTTGTTTTAAAATTCTTTTTACATTGATTGAATGCCATGTGGCAGACCCTACAATATATTAGGTCCATGTTATTTTCTGAAGACTTCCTGAATTTGCACTTCAATAAAGACCTTGCTTTCTATCATTCTGGAACTATATAGTTACTTGATAAATTTTTTGCTAAATTCCTAATGAAGATCTCCCTAGCTTTTTTTTTTAATCATGAAGCATCTCGTGGGCTATCCCAGCCTGGGCATCACTATTTTATCTTGGAGTCTGCTGTTTCTCCACTGGGTGAAGTGTTTTATTAAGTGTCAATTTGTAAAGTGCTCTCTGGGATTATCTGCTGCAAAATAATAGGAATGGAAACATATTTCATCATTTTTCCTGCCATAATAAAATTAGAAAGCACATTATATATCATCTGCTAGTAAGAGTGGATGAAAATTCCACGGAGTAACCCAGAGACTCCATTATACAGTTGCTCATAGACCATCTTAGCTTGATAGTTGTGGTCTTCAGGGTTTGATGCCTTCTTCTGTTGTCATTTAGTACAACAGTAGTTGTTATAGGTGTGTATTTATAACTGCATATATATTATATGTATATATATATATGTATTTGGCTTAAAATCTACTCAGAATCAGAGAGAGAGACTTAGCATTTTCCCTCCTACACTGTCTTCCTTGCCCCTTTCTTAAGCACAACTTCTCTCTGTTATTTCTTTGGGGGCTGTGCTGGGGCTTGGACTCAGGGCCTTCCACATGTGAAGTGCTGAGCTGCACCCCCAGGTCTTCCCTTGCTCTAATGAGTGCATCCAGATTTTCTATATCCATTTGCAAGTGAATATGATACAAATTTTTTTGTATTTTATTCATCTTACACACAAAAGCTAGCCGATGACATATACATTCCATACTTCATGCTTTTTCCTCCAGTGCGTAGAAACCATCCTTATTCTTTTTTGTAGCTATAATATCTCACTGCTTTAATGTGTGGATAAACCATAATTTATATAATCAGCCGCCTTTGAGGGAAACTTATACTCTTTCCCATCTTTTATTACTACTGCAATAACTACTCCTGTACATTATCATTTTACTTGTGTGCAGATATATTTAGAATACATTTCTGGAAATGGAACTGGGGGGACAACTGATCAATGCATTTCATCAAATGCAACTTTGACCTATATTGCCAGTTTGCTTTTGAAAGAGCCATACCAACTGACCCCGACACAGACTCTGCTGTTCTGTATGGCATTTTCAGCATCTCTCTGGAGATAGGAAACAAGAAATGATCAAAATGAATTCTATCTATAAATATTCATTCACTGAACAAACATTGACCTAGTGCCAACTATGCTGCACGCCTTCCTTCTAGGCCCTGGAGATACAGCAATAAAGAAAGCCAATATAAATCCCTTTTATGACATTTATCTTGTGAGACAGAAGAATGGATGACGAAGAATGGGCATGGAATGTCTTTCCTGGCATTTAAAGGCAGTGTCACCAAGTCAGAAGCCGTGCAAGCACCCCAAATATATAAAATTCAGGAGGGAGCCATCACAGGGAATGTGGAGAACTGGGTAGCACTGGAGGCTCCCAGAAAGACTGTAGGCACTACTAACTCTATCAGGTCACACAGAGAGAAAATGGCTTCTTAATGTATAAGAAAAACAAGAAATCCAGATTTTCATGTGATGTTTCCATATTTTAAATGTTGGGAACTAATTAAAAGACTTTAGAACACTTGGAGGTCAAGTTATTTTTTCATAGACATAGACAAATTTTTTTCTTTTGACACAGGGTTTAGTTATGTAGTTCAGGCTCTCCTTGAACTTACTATGTAGCCCAGGCTGGCCTTGAACTTGTGGTCATCCTCCTGCCTCAGCCTCCCGAGTGCTGGGATTATAAGCATGCACCACCATGCCTGGTGGGCATAGACAAATTGATCTTACAGTTTGGATAGGAAAATAAACATGCAAGAATATCTCAAAAAATAAAGCAATTTTTGGGATTGGAGACCAGCCCTAATATACATTAAAACATGTTATAAAGCCTCTATAGTTAAAACAGTGTGATACTGGTGCATGAATAGACAATCCAGCATAATAAAATCAGAAGTCCAGACGGCAAACTAAGTACATATGGATAATTAATGTACAATAGTTTTATTTTTATCTTTGCATTACTTGGGATTGAACCTGGGGCCTTCAGACTGCTACATCCCCAGCCTTTTTTATTTTAATTTTTAATTCAATTTTTTTGTTTGTTTTTGCTTTTATTTTCTGAGAGCATCTTGTTATGTAGTTCAAGGTGGTCTTGAACTCACTGTGTAGCTCAGGCTGGCCTCAAACTCATGGTGATCCTCCTGCTTCAGCTTCCTGAGTGCTGGGATTACAGGGGTGCACCACCATATCCAGGTGATTTGTAATGTTTTAAACTTTAACGCAGGGTTGCTAAAAAACACTGAATTACCCAGGCTACACTTGACCTTGTGATCCTCCTACCTCAGCCTCCTAGAGTGCTTTGATTATAGGCATGTACCACCACATCCAGTTTGTTTATTTATTTATTTATTTATTTTTGTCTTTTTGAGACAAAGTCTTGCTATGTAGTTCAGGCTGGCCTTGAGCTCACTTTGTAGCCCAGACTGGTCTTGAACTCACAACAATCCTCCTGCCTCAGCCTCCTGAGTGCTGGGATTACAGGTGTGTGCCACCACGCCTGGCCACACCCAGTTTAAAGATAGCATTGTAAATCATTAAGGCAAAGACAGACTTTTTAATAAGTGGCTGGGACAATGGGCAGCTATGGAACAAAAGCTATGGAATATAAAGCCAGATCCTTGTCTCACAAGAGAATAAATGGAGCAGAGTCTATATCCCTGTTTCTTATCATCTTTTTTATTTGGCTCTTTAAATTATTTATATTTTGGGTTGCTCATACTGGATACATCATTCAATATTTAACCTTCTTGTCTGATTTATTTCACCTAGTATAATGGTAGACTATGGACTTGGGAAGGGAACTTGGGAAAGAAGCAAAAGAGAAGAGGAGGGGGAGGGTAAGAAGCAGTAAAAATGATCAAGATGTGATACGTATACACCGATCTCCCAAGATGAATGTAATTACTGTGTATCACAACATATACTAATCACATTTTTAAAACTATAAATGGAAGCCAGGCGTGGTGCCGCACGCCTGTAATCCCAGCACTTGGGAGGCTGAGGCAGGAGGATCACTGTGAGTTCGAGACCAGCCTGGGCTACAAAGTGAGCTCAAGGCCAGCCTGAACTGCAGAGAGAGACCCTGCCTCAAAAAGACAAAAAAAAATCATAATAATAAAATAAATAAATAAATAAAAATATAAATAGAGCAGAGGTCTACAATGGCAGCACACAAGTATTAGAAGAAAACATGGATGGATTCCTGCATAATCTGGGAGTATGGAAAGGGTTTCTAAGTGTGAGTCTTAGGGCATGGCAAAGCTGGCTGGGCAAGTAGGTGCAACCTGTTCATTACAAGAGCCCGGACACACGCACAGAACAGTTCCCAAAGCCCCGCACACGGCCTTGCGAGAACTTGGGCAGCTTTTCAATAGGACGCCTAGACCTGATGTCAGTCTGAGGTGTGGGATCCCAGCACTGCCTCTGAGGACCCATTTGTAGAAGTTCTCCAAGGTTTCCTCAGGATGTAGATGGCACAAAAGGTCACAGTCACCGAGAAGAGCCCGCTAATGTGACTTTCATCATGACACCCCACCCTGTGCTCCCCAGGGTGTACTTCATCTTGCTTTCTCCTTTTCTACTCAGTCCAAGTTCACTCTGCAAAGCTAGTTTCTCTTTCACTCTCCACTTTTATTTTTTCAAACAAACTGTCACCATGTTTTTGCTTATTTCGGTTGAATTCTTTGTTCGAAATGAGAAGAACCTGGACTCCAACTCCAGAAGGAAACTAGGTAATGTTTATTTGGCAAGCCACTTTTAGAATGAGACTACCTGGTAACAAAACTTCAATGGCAATAAAAGAACAGATTAATTTGCTACTTAAGACTAAAAGGGGAGGTCCCAGCGCTTAGACCCATTCTACCAGTTAGTCCAACAGGAATGAGGGGGCCCGGGGCATACTCTGCCTTCTCCCTCTGGCCAGACTGTCATCTCCATGGAGGAGCTCCAGGTCATCATGACTATTGAGGAACAAGAAAACATCTTGTTGCTAGACACAGGTGCAAGTCTCTCGGTCCTTCTTTTCAATCCTGGCCTTCCTTCCAGCCATCACACCTCAGTGAAAGGAGTCACTGGTGAGGAGGTAATACTCTATTTTTCACAACCCTTAGGCTGTAACTACTTGTTAGATCTTTCTTGCGTATCTCTGTCTTCCTGAGCAACCACTTTGAAGATACCAAAGTATAGTACAACAACTATTGATAATCTCCTACCTCTTTTGTCTGTAACTCACTATTATTTGTCTATTTGTTTTCCTGAGAAACTATCTTGTAGATAACAATATGTAAAACAACAACCATTGATAATTTCCTACCACTTTGTAATTCGGTAAGCCCCCCTGTTATTATGTTATTCTTCTTTTACTCTTTAAAAAAAAAAAAAAAGACTAAAAGGATTTTTCTTGGTAAAATATACCCTAAACAAAATCAAAAGGCAAATGACAAGATAGAAGAAAGTATTTTTAATCTATGTCACAGATAAACAGCTAATATCCTCAATATAAAGAAAACCTTTTTTAAAAATGAGAAAGTCAAAATTAAAAAAAGAAACATGGGCAAAGATAAGTAATTCAATGCAGAAAAGATTAAAACAGGCCTAAGGCTACGAAAAT